CCTTCATATCTGCTTCTGGGTGGGCTTTTTTGGTGTTCAGCTTGATGAACATCATCTTTCAATTGTAAGGCTATAGCTGCTCCCTGGTTCCCTGCTGAGCTCCTGACAAACCCCAGGGTCCTCTTTACAACCTCAAGCAAGCACAGCTGATCCCCTGACAGTTGCTTTCTGTAAAATGATGCAGCAGGGAAAGGAGCAGGAAGACTTTGCTGTGGTTATTCCTGAGAGAGTCATGGGAGCAGTAGGAAGGGCATGAACTTGAGTGAACTGACCTAAGGGGAAATTTAAGGGCTCATATTAGTTTTTGGCAGCATTTTCTGTTTGAGAGGAGCCTGGAGTGAGACAGAGATGTCTGGGTGTGCAAGAGGTATGAGCACAATCCTATTAGAACTGGCTTCCAGATGCTATCATCAGCTAAGGGATGCCAGCTTCTCAGGCTGGCGGTGGGCCGGGACAGGTGGCAGCTTTCATCACAGCAAGCAAGGACAAAGAGCAGTCCCAGTGCCCATCACCATGTACAAGACAAGAACCTCCTTCTGCCACCCCCTTTCTCCTAAATATCTGATATTCTTTCCTTGCAGCATTTGGGAAGTTGTTAAAACCTGAGAAGTGCATGCTGAAGAAACGCTTCCCACATGGGGCTTTTGCTCCAGTGGAGTAAGGGAGGGAGGGTGAGTGAAGGCTACCTGCAAAAAAAAGAATGTGTGCTGGGTCTTCCAAAGCAAAGTTGTGCCCGCAAGGTTTTCTTTGTAGTGATTGCAATGGTTTCATTCCTCTGAGCAGAAGAAACTTGATCCAATGTTTGTAACAGTTCACATGTCACCAGACTTGAGCCTAGAGCCCCTACCACTAAAGACTAGGTCAAGCAGATTTAATTTCCTTTGGTCATTGAGTAGCTGGAGAGAATGAAGCAACCTGTCATGTATTCTTAAGTTGTGATTAATGAGCCACATGTGTGACTGTTTCCAAGTAAGATGAGACTTCAACAAGCAGCAAAGTAACAATCATTGCAGCAAAGGTTTTGAGTGGCACAGAGGTGGACCTCTGCTCTCACCATTCTAACACATATCTGTTTCCCTAGCAAAAATTGTGAAAGCAGCATATTTGATTTCATGTACTCCTGGTCATTTTAAACTCTGTGGCCCTAAATAACATTGATCCTACTTTACCGATGGGTCCTTTGTAGCCGATGCACCCTGGGATTCCTCAATACACAACAGAAAGGGCAGAAAGAGTATATAACTACAGGTTTCATATCTGTGATTCCTGATACAGTGCTACCTGAATGCCTTGCTTTTATGTGTATTGTGCAAAGTTTTTGTAACCTGCTAAGCAAGTGACTAGAGAGAGCTGTGAGTGTTTACAGGGAAGTATGAGATGTGACAATGAGGAGGAGGAAGGGGCTTCAGGAAGTCCCTAAGCCACAGGTTGCTGAGCAGTTATATGAAGATCAAGAATTACTCCATACCTAGCATGTTTCTTATACTCTTTCCTTAAGCTTCTGTTACTAAGGTGCAGGATAGTTGTTTAGATGGACCTTTGAACTGACTTGGAGTAGCTGTTCTTTTGTCATTCTGTAAAAATGCTGTGCACAGGAGATTGTGTGGTATGGGTGTCTTCCAGTGACATGGTTATGTGACTTTAATTTCCTTGCATTGTGTTTTTCCCTGGAGAGGCCACACTAATACTACTAGAGTCTGCAGGAGTAGGTGCCTAACCTGCTCCAGTGTTTGAAACCTGTGTAAAGACTTTGCATCTTCAGGCATGTAATTACTTCGGAAATCTGGCTCCTAAACTCCAGAGCAGATACCCTTTAATGGCTGTTTGCTTAAATGCAGCCAGAGCATTTACTGACAGCTCTTCTGAAAAACAAGAAAAAGAAAAAAAATGCCATGCCTTTAGCTTTAATTCTCTCGTACATCTGGGTGAACAGAGCGATCAAGAGATGCAGGGCTTTGGGTAATATCTTAGAAGGTAATTATTCAATTATTTTAGGTGGTTTACTTCATTGATTAATTATTCTAGTGGCTGGTGAACTGGATTCTGTTCTGTTTTGGCAGAAAAGGAAAGGTTTTATTTACTCTTTGGTAATTTCAGGCTGCTTGGTGTTTCAATGCTGTGGGTACAAGACTGTCCTGATAGGCGTTCTCTAGTACACCTCTTTGTCGGATCGTTATTACTCACCTGGAAAAATACGAGCCCCATTCTCCAAGTGAGAACAACTGACTTGGCCCAAGGGCTCTAGTATTTCCAATAGTGCAGATGTATTTAATTCTATTGGGGCTGATAACATAAAATTAAAGAAACAGATTTGGCACTGGTGACTGATACTGGTTGGCTAGTACAGAAAACAGAATGTACTGGGGCTTAGAGTGTAAGGTTTGATCAAGAGAGGCCTGTTAATGTGCCCTGGTCCTGCCTTAGGTGGAGTAACAAAGTGGTTATTTGTGCCAGACTATATTAGTGATGGTGAGCCGGCCCCCTTCACAATCCACCTGCCTCCCAACACCATATCTCTGGCATGAGAGCTGGATCTGCTGAGGTGGATTTCTCAGAAGTCTGGATTTCAGCTTTGTGTCTGTTTAGCTATTTTACACAACCGCCTGATGATTCTATATTCAGTTACCTTCCTTTTGGGAAGAAGGGATCTTTCTGCTATTTAATTACTTCAGGAAGCCCTGTGGTTCCCTCATGCGAGCAGAATTCCCTGGTATTCTCTGTGCAAGCATACATGCCTCTAACCATGTAATGGCACGTGCACACGCAGGCACACAAGTTCAGAGTTCTGTGGTTGGCATGTCC